AGGACAAAAATTGGACTACTCTAATATACATGCATTTTGTTTGGGAAAAAAATGTCATCCTAGCGAAGGGGGTACCCCCTTAGATTTTTTCATTTTGATATTTGTAATTTCTATACCAACTTTCAATTTTCTACTATAACCGGTACAGGGTGTTCATTTACCTTGAAATGCGCTACTGGATCGCTGTGAAACTGGCAAAAACATTGGAGATTTTTATAGAAAGCTTCTGTTGCCATGACAACTGAGGCTTGTGATATAATTTAAATCTGAAATATTCTTAGGTTGCTTAACCAATTGTGTGATTAATATATGTATGTACACACTACAGCTAAAGTAAAATATGAGCACCATGAGCATCCTCTAAATTTATACTTAGAAACGTAAAGTTTGGTATCAGCATCTCTTTAGGCAAGAAGAAAAATTTTGAAAGGTGCCCGAAACTCCATTTGTCGGAATTTTTTTTTGCACCAATCTAATGTGTATGTATGTAAGTAGGGTTGAGCTTCCATGCTCAATACTGGATAGCTGGTAGTTTATAACTAATAATAACGTTATGGCATGTATATACTATTTTTTTTTTGGAGGTCTTTCTTACTCTGCAGGATTTATTTAAAAAAAGTTATTTATATAGGTCAGTTTATGTCAAATCGATCAGTGGTTGGAATCGACCATTTTTGATTTAGAAGAATTTTAGTTCGAACTTTTATTTTATCATATAACGAATTTTTGCCAAAAAAATTAAATCGAATTTTCAATATTTTTCGAATTTTGCAAGTTAATTTTTTGCGTATTTTAAAAACTATTATAGGTAGTTACAAAAATTCTTCTGATCTCGTTTTTTAGGTGATATTTGGGGCTGCAAAAAAACCGAGAAATAAAAAAATACAGAATTTTGAAATTTAAAAATCCTTAATAAATTAAAATAAATTAAAAAAAATAAAATTTTTTTACATAACTTTATTTAGAGTGCATTTTTTTTTTCAAATTAAAAAATTTATGTCTTAAAAAAACGCCTTTAAAAAATTCAAGGCCTTTTAAGATCAGTTTAAGGTATTGTATGGAAAAGTGAGCCAATTATTTTTTTTTAATTTTTAATTTTCGTTCTTACCATTTTTTTAACTAAAACCTTCATTATTTTTATTTTTATTTTTTTCTGATTTTTTTTTTAAATTTACATTTATTCTTTGTAGCCCTTAATATCACCTTTTAAATAACACCCGCACAATGTTTGCAACTATAATTAGAGATATTAAAAAAATAAACTTTCAAAATCCCGGAAATTGTGAAATTTAGAATTTTGTATAACTTACGAAAAATTTTTTTATTTTTTTTTTACAAAACTACGTTATGTGATAAAAGAAAAGTTCTGACAAAAATTCAGCCAAATCGAAATTGGCCGATTACAACCATTGTTCGATTTGACAGAACAAACCCGTATATAGATCATAGCTACGAGAAGAATTTGAAGTCCCTGGAAAAATCGTATGAACTTATAAAGTCTGTTTGTTGCTCTAAATTACGAGCATATTTGGAATCAGGATGTTGAAGTGTAAGCTCATTGCGCTGATGGTATCAGGTAGTTAGATCAAAGTTCTGCATATTTTGCCTTACACATCAGCAATCAACAACTTGTGACCGTTAGCTCGGAGGAGGATGATGGCCGATTCTCCGCCACTCCTACTACGAAATATACAACTCGAGCGAGACGGTTTCGACCTAAACTCGCGGCACACGTGTTGTCGAGGGTTTGAAAATTATACGAAAATATTATAAATTAGACAAAAAATTATGTCCAAAAATGTACAAACACATGCTCTGTTATTACCTGAAAAAGCAACTTAAGTTTCATAATTTCCAATGTAAATTTTTTGACTGGCTAAACGAAATTAATTTAAGTATAATATTTCATGGTTTGAAATTTATGTTTTTATTTTCATTTTTTTATGTACTAACATCTTCATGCTTTTATCTATTTGCCTTGATGTTTAATATGTCATCTTTTATACATACATATTTGCACAATACATAGCATTTTTTTCGTTATCCAAGTCGAACTTTTCTTTCGCACTTGAGTGAGTATTTAATTTATTGCCACTTATTTCATAGGTTATTTATATACAGTTATATTATTTTGATCTAGCATTAAACTTTGACATTGAATGTGATATTCCTCAAAATGCCTTAGTAACTACTTGTCTGTCAGCACAAAGTTTGAGAGGGAAGTAAATAATCGTAGTCGAATGAAAATTAAAAAGTTCCGCATACGACATGACGCACACAAGTAATCAAAAATAACACAAGACTGAATGTATTTACTTATGTACAAATATATGTTCGTAGTTACAACCACTCACATACAAAAAGTTCAAGGAACTACTTATTTTTTGTAGCGAAGCACTACTAAGTTAAGCAACTAATGTATAAAACGGTATAGCATACATATTGCACCCTAAATCAAAAACAGTCACAACTCAAAAAATTTCAAATGTTCAGGAGAGGCAAACAACTCAAGCAAAACAAAAACAGTCTTAAAGTAAAGTTAAGTAACTAAAGAAAATGGTGATGAAGAAGAATATTTTGGCGGACGCTAGCTATATGGTCTGTGAACAGTTTTATGAAAAAAAAAAATGAATTTTGAAAAATTTTGAGTTGTGACTCTTTTTGACTTAGGTGCGATGTGTATGTATTAGCGTTGAGCAGATGAAGTCTAAATTTGTGGTAAGTATACTTGAGTCTCACAACTAGTGCAGAGTTTACTTTTTCATGTTATCTAAAACCAGCTTGTAACCAAAATATTGAACACAAATCGATTTTTTCGAGAATGTTGCTTTTTATTTTAATTCTTTTTCCAAAACCAAACTCAATGGAAGAGTTGGTAGCAGATCTAAATATATAAATAGGTATGCCCGCAGTGCTGCCCAATTCAGTCTCCATTATATAACGATGTGTCGGTAAATATGAATTCATTCGAAAATATATACAAACATATGTATCTGTCTCGAGGAAACTTAGCAGCTGCAAGCCGAAAATTCCATGTCAATAAAATTCAATGTCAAGCGGCGCTACGTGCGGCCGTTACATTGACCAGAATTGCTAACAAACGGGATAAGTGTGCAAGGATGAAAGCATATAAACATAATTCTTGTATTTTCAATGTTTCCCAAGATTTCAATTCGTTTAGTTGGCCGATAATCTACACACTTACAAAGTTTTATTTCTTTTGCCTACGCTCAATGTCGATAAAGTCTCATTTCATTTCAATTTGTGTAATCAAAATAAGTCAAAAAGTTTTTCATGCTTAAGTTGATTTTATTTTTTTTTTGAGTCAGAATTCAAGTTTTTGGGTGAAAAGGGTATTTATTCTGCTTATGACCAATGAAGATTTCACGTACAAAAGTACACCAAGTACTGTGCTATGGTGGCAAAAATTTGTGTTAGTACAGGCGACGTGATACGCCCAGTAAACAAAAGTCTTCAGGTACAAGCGCGAAAAAACGAGCTTAGAACATATCATACATACAAGTATATATTAAATATGTATTTATTTTAACTACATACTAGGTTGTTCATTCTGATTTTCTTATAAGACTTGAAAATGTGCAAAAAATGTATGCCAACGAAAAGTGGATATAGAATACAGATTTTATTTAGTTAAAATTGCTATTGTATTGGAAAAGGTGGATACAAAATTCTTTGACCATTTGCCTTTCAGTTATTTCGTGTTTATTATTTTTTATTGGTATCTAACAAAAACCAGGAAAAGTTAAGAAAATTCGACAAAATTTAATACAAATTTTTAGCTCTTTAAAAAAACTTCATAGAAGAATTCTGAATACGCAGTTTGTAGCCCCTTCAATTTTAGTAATAGCTAGGGCTTACTTTTGGCTTATTTTTGGTATTTTTTTGTGGGAGTTGCTCATTTTCTCCATACAAAAAAAAAAATTTACTTTGAGTTACCTTAAACTTGCACTTTATTATACTACTAAAATTTAACAACTGAATGCTCAAAAAAAAAACCTGATCAAAAAGTTGCAAATATTGATCAAAATTATAGCGCACAGTGAGGCGGAGTCAATAAAAGGTGATAAAAATATATTAAGCTTAATTAGTGGACAAAAAAATATCTATATAGGGGCTTTTCGTGGTGTGGAGTAAGAATCTGGACTTAAAATGGTAATTTTTGTAGAGAGTTGCCACCTGTTTAAAAATTCAAAACCAATTCAATTAACAAGTCAAATTAAATATCTGAATATTGGTGTCTAACGAGAGATGTTTACGACAGCTTTATTTACAAGAAACTTTTGATGAGGATTGCCATCTGTTTTGGAATCCAAAATGAGTTTAATTAGAATGGTGATTAACTATTTTTATTTGAATGTCAAACGAGGGAGCTTAGAAACATTATTTTTAAAAAGATTTTTCAAGGGGGGTTTCCATTCGTTTAGAAATTAAAAATCAATTTAAATAACAAGTCGAATGAGTTACTTGAAAACGGATGTTAAGCATGAGAAGATAAGAAGAGCTTTATTTCGAAAATATTTTCAACGGTTGCTTCTTTAAAAAATAACAAAATTTCTATAATTTTATTTTGCTTTATTTGAATTTATTTTTCTTTACAGTTTATGCACTGTCATACAATATTCCTCAATTTCTAAAATTTACATATCGTCACTAGACATGAATAAAGACGCGCGAGTGTTTTGACTGCAAAAAAGAGCACAGACAAAAAAAGTAGTTCCGAAAAAATACGCTTAAAAAATCTTCTGCGAGGAAAGGCGCGTAAACATAGCCTTATAAATGGCCCAGCACTTTCACTTCAGCATCATTCCACAAAAACGCTTTGTCGAATTCGTAAACTTTTACACCGACAAACTTGGCTGACCTCGAAAAAAATTTTTTTGTTTTAAACTCTTTAAATTTTATAAACTTAAAAAATTAACCATAAAATTTTTAATTATTTTTTAAATGACTTTGTATAAATTTTAGGCTTTTGTACTTACTTTCGGAAGAATAATCCATTTTAGTGAATTAATATTGTTAAATTTCTCCAAATCTTGGCGTATTATAGATTCCGCATTCCAGGTTTTGCAGTAAAAAAGTACTTTCCAAGTTTATTTTAATCTTATTGACCGGCGAAGCTAATATAAGCTACACTATTGAATCTCCAATAATTTGAGCCTTGGTTTAAGTTTAAACTCCACTAGAGAGGATCCAATTACGATCAACCTAATGTACAAACAGTTTTTATACATACATATGTATATATTTGTATATCACACATGCACACTTAATGTCCCATACGTATTTATTTAAGGCGTCCCAGAATGTGCAGCCACACCGTCAGATTCTAGTAAAACCACAAAAAGATTGCCAATAAATTTTTTCACGGTCATTCTCTCTACATACATACATACACACATTGGGCATAGTATACCTCGCTTTGCTGTCATAAAGTATTTGAAATTGCTTGTATGTATTTATGTGACGTTGATGGCGTTGCACGTTTCAGTTGTTCACAAAAAAAAAAAATACTGCACCAAAACTTGAAAGGTCACCAAAAAGTACTTATTTACAACTACAACAAAAACAGACACGAATACGTGCTTAAATGTGCAGAACCACAAGCTAAAACATACAAGCTTACGCACATGCATACATCCATATGTACTTAAGTAAGTTTTTATGTGTTTGCGTTTGCTTTTTTGTGACCAACATCATTGCCCCTTTGTATGCTCGCCATTACTCATACGCCCCGGTGCACCGACTTACGTTCGAGTGCAGTGAACTCAGTTGAAAGTACATGGTTGAGAATTTTGATTTGAAGTGGGCATGCCACTGATGTATTGAGTCTGATGTATATGAGTCGTTTTCTTTTTGTAGCCTTTGGGTCTACGTTTTTTTGTAAGTATGTATACGTAATTGCATTCAAGGGATATCACAAATAAAAGTAAATAGTTTGTAGACATTTACACTGCATTTTTTCACTGTTCTCGCTAAATCTGTGATTCTGAATAGAAAAATGTTTTAGTATGTGATGTAACTTTGGTTGAACTGATTTTTTTGGTAATGACATGTGGGGTTATGTTTTGTCAATTTCTTAGAAGAAAACTAGAAGATATACGTATTGAATAAGTTTTAATTTAGAGTTTAAATTTAAAAATATTAATTAATTAAATATAAGTAAAAAAAATATTGAATACAGACAAACACGAATAGACCTCAGGGTTGCAAACTAAAACTAAATTGAAACAAAGTATAGGCTTGCGATTTGCATATAGAAGGACAAAAACTAAAAAAAGTTATATTTGGCAGAATATTAAATGAAGTATGTTTAACAGGGTTGCCAGCTAAAATAAAACTGAACACGAAATTTATTTCGATAAACTTTAAAATAAAATTAATTCAAAGGCTTTTTCATTTGGAAGCAAAAATACAAATGTACTTTGCTTAAAACACGGTTGCCACCTATAATCAAAATTATAAAATACATAAGCGTACCTTATGGCAACTAATCAAAAAGTAGTTAAAAAAACGTTGCTTTAGACATAAGAAGCCAACTATGTGAGTAACAAAATTAGTAACTAGACACATTTCCAGCATAATTGTCTTCTAAATAGTCAACGAAATGTGTATAGGAAACTTTAATTAAATATTAATTAGAATTGCCAGCTACCTTTTATTTTAAAATTAAAATGATCTACATTAAGAAAGTTATTTAAAAAGATTTTCTTAAAAGGTTTCAGGCTAAGGCTGCCCCATATACAAATAGTGAAAGGTGATTGCACAACCTTGTGACATACATACATAAATATGCCCATTAGTATATAAAATACAAGCTTATATGTATGTAAACGAAAACTGAGTCAGAAGCTTTTAGTGTGAAAATAAATTTAAGATGGCTGCTAACTATCTAAAAATTAAGGCAGATTAATGGTACAACATATTTTAATACGGATTTCAAAAAAAAGCGCACTGAAGAAATCTTCTATATAAAAAAATAAGTACAGTTTCCACGTTTTTCCCCTAAAAATATTTTGCAATTTTTTTTAATGAAGTCGAAAAGTTTTTAATTCAAAATGTATTGAAAATAGGGTTGCCAGGTATCGAAAAATGTAAATAGTTAAGGCATTTAAACATTAAAAAAATAGTAAAGCGGGGAAAAGCATTTAAATACTGATGTCAAAATTGCTGAGCTCAAGAAGTCTTTTATGAAAAAAAAATAAGCAGGGCTTCTACATTTCTATTACCCTAAGCAATTTTTCAACTAATTAAATAAACAAACTAAAAAAACTAAACTAACTAGCTAGCTAAACAAAATTTACATTACTGATAATTATGGCAGCTGAATGCGTATGGGTTGCCACGCGTCGAAAAATAAAATCAGTTACAGCACTATGCTATTTGAGTAAGGTTTAAAAAGCAGGGATATATGCGCTTAAGAGTTCTTTTATGCTGAAGAATTTTAAATAGAGTTGCCACATTTTCCTGAAAATAACTAGGTAATCCATTTTTTATTTCGGAATTATTTACAAAAATTATATGGAATGCAAGCTACTGCAGTAATTTTTAATTTAAAATGCGACTTCAAAACAAATAGCGTTGCCAGCTGTCGAAAAATTAAAAGAGTTGGAGCACCGAAACATGTTGTTATAAAGATATTAGAATTAAGGTGTTTAATAATTATATGTCACAAAAAACTATTAGATAGAGTTGCCAGCTATATACAAATTTCAAACTTATTTTCATGTTATTGGAATTTTTCGTCCTGATTTTGTTCTGCCAACATATTTGAAAAAATTATATCACATAAAGTCTGTCTAAAAAGTTTTTAATAACATTTTTGTTTGTAAACAGTACTGCCAACTATATACAAAAGAAAATAATTAGAGGAGTTACAAATTTTAAACAGAAAATTAAATATATGTATTCAGGCATTCGTGAGGAATTTGGTTCAACAATAAAATTTACTTAGTGTTGCCACTTTTTAAAATTTGTTCCTATTCTTTAATTCTCATGTGTCTGACATTTTCATATCAAAACAACTTTTTTTTAATCACAGACATTTTTCCCGCAGATGATTAGCTCGGAGGAGTTGCCAACTTCTTCATATAAAAATGTCATAGTATTAGAACTGTTTAGTAGATAAAAAAAACCTCTTGCCTAAAGGTATGCCACACCCACACAAGATGCCAGAACCTCAAATCATGCTCAACTTGCTTAATGGAACCCACGAAAACTTTTCCTAAGTTTATAAACGGCTAAAGGCGTAGGGGATTTGCATTCAGAAATAATTACTGATAATTACTACAGTTCCTCTTACAAATTTTTAATTTGCAAAAATAATTTTCATGTAAAAACTTCCATTCTGGTTCATCCTTTTCACTGAGTTAATTACCAACTCTTATTAAAATTAAAAGAAAGTAAAAGTAAAATTTCTAAACACGGATACATAAATAGGGGTATTCAACACTGAAAAGCAATAAGTAGGGTTGCCCATTTTCTCACCAAATATTTTAGTATTAATTTATTTTACTTCAGACAGCATTTACATGAGTAGAAGATATTTCAAACAGCCTTGGCAGTAAGCTATTGCCAACTTACTTCAATAGAAAAAAATAACTGATATATATGTAAACTTGTTACTGAGTTACAGCTTTAGTTGATTGCAAACCTTTCTCTCTTACTAAGTTTTAAAACATTTACTCAAAATGAGCAGTCGCCGATAAAGAAAACTCTACAAGGAAACAAGAAAAAATACCTCTATATTCGTCTATAGCTGAGGAGGAGAGCTGTGTGGCCAATAACCGCAGTCATTAAGTTACTCATACGACATGGCGGATACTAAAGCAGAAGCAAGCAGCTGCAGCAGACAAACGTAACTACTAATTTCGGAAGTCAATCGGACAGTTATTCAAGCAGTTATACCGCAGAATATGCTGGAGTTAGTTAGTTGTGGCAGCGAGCGGGATTGTTGTTGTACGAATTGTTGTCTTCATTGGTATAGTAGAATCGCATGGAAACAAAATGAGGTGATTCGGCAAAACAAAAAAATAAAAGTGTAAATTTACAAATGTATTAGCGGCAGCAGCAGAAGCAATCGCACTACCAGACACCACCAACTACTATCAACAGAGAAACAGCAAAGCAGTCATCAGCCAACGAGTCAACTTTTGCAACATGCGCTCGAATTGAAATCGAACGAAGCGAACTGACCTGGAAAATATGGAAACGTGATCGAAATATTTTTCTAAAAGCAGCAGCAGCAGCAACCACGTTAAAGGTAGCAGCAGTCTCCGCAGGCAGTCTGCAAAACGATGGAAAGTGTGAAAAAATATGAAAAATGTACGACATGCTTGCGCTGAGCGTGTGAGGTGAGATGGCAAAGCAAATGAATGAATGGTGAATGGTTGTATAGGTATGCTATTCGATATGGTGGTAAAGTGCCTGCGGATAGGTATGCTTGTAATGTGGCTGTTGCACGTCGCGACCGGTGATTTTGTGGCAATCGTAACAGCATTGAATCTGGTGCATGTTGAACGATTGGAAATTACTGTAAATGGTTGGGCTAATGGTAAAAGTGTTTTTGGTAAATAATCGATGTTAGATTATGAGATTTATGGATATATGGGCTTGAGGGATTACAGTGAACTTTCGAACCTATCCGTCCGTTGTTTTGATCCCAATATAGGTTATTTGAATTATAAATATTAAACTAGATGGAATCTTAATAAATACGTTTTGACAAGAAGTTATCGCAACCATGCGATAAATAATTTTAACTCAGTATAACTCAGATACTTCTTCTGAATTTCTTGCTGATGAGAAAGCTGCTCAAATTTACACATCCGTACTTCTTATTTTCGTTTGAGGATATTTTTAAACTCTTACTGAGCAATATGAATAACCCAAACTCTAGTATTCTCAAGCGCTTTTACGTCAGGAAGAATTAAGCGAAAGTTCGATATACGTGCGTAAAATACCATTTCCGCCTATACTTATACGATATGCATATATGTAATTTTACCAATCGCTTGCATTGCATTGCATTGAAGTCACATACATATATGTCGCGCTGTTGCCTTCTCCTGCCAAATTGTTAGACAGCTTAAGAAGACATACACAAAGCTAAGCGAAACTTTAGTGGCAGCAGCACTGCGGGTTATGTCAGGTGCTCAATATATACATAGTTGTTGGAAATATGGTTTCTATCCATTTTAAATCCAGTCACGCCATGCCATTGAAACTTATAGAAAAGAATGAATGCAAGTGTAGAAAGGTTTGAGGAATACGTACGTTTGTGTGTAAGGTTCTTTTATAACCATTTAATAGTAGTAGCAACAGCAGTGTCTGCGCAACATGTGGGCAAATACAGCAGGGATTAGGGCAAATGAATAGATTCAATTTTCAAATGTTGACTAAAAGGCTATGACAACGTGCAGGGGTAAGTTGAGTTACATGAAATGAAGAAACAAAAAACGCTGAAGTGGCTGAAGCCTTATGCGGCAGTTGGTAGACTTCAAGTGAATGCACCGCCCAGTTTCCGCAGGTGTTTTAATGCCAGTGGCAAACCAGTTGGTGGGTAATAGCTTTCAGTGCGCGACTGCCATAAGAAATTCAATTGAAAGCACATTAAAATAACATTAGTACGAGCACGAAAAGCAAACGAACGAGGACAGGATGAGCAGGTCGAAATGTACATAAGCTGAAGATCAAAACAGAGTTGGCTGAGATAAGCAAGGAGAGGAATATTGTACACATACATACATATAAAGCTTAACTATATCTAAGTAAATATATGATGAAGTTTATAAGCATGTAGACATGTACATATGTATTTAGGTAGTTAAATTTTTATGTCTTATCTGAAACTTATGCCACCCGTATAATTACGCAGAGTTGCCTACTCCATTCCCGCATTATTGCATGCAAAGCGAGGACTTCAGCTTCAGCCCAGGAGCCGATGTGACTATTCATGCCCAAGCTCCGTATAAACGACTGCAGCTCCAACTACTTTACTAATTTAAGATCCATTCGTAAAGAAATTATAGGTGCGGTGATTGGTAAGAGTCACTTCTTCCAGCCATCGTGTTCTACTATGAACACGATATTTTGTAATTTACCGGTCAGCTCATGTAAATTATTGTGAGAAATGCTCTATCTTTTTAGTTTCAGAATCATTTTTTTTTAGTGTACCTTTTTTTGTACCGAGGGGAAAGGCCTTGTCTCTTGCTATACATTTGCCCTTATAACGCATTGCAGGTCCTCTTAATTCTATTTTCCACTTTCAGTCTCGAATTCAATTATCCTCCGTAACTTAAGAGTGAAAGAGTAAAATTTCTTTGTTTGAATAACAGTGTTTGAATAATAATAAATACGTTTTTTTGGAAGAGTTTTCACTTAAAGTGTTGCCAAAAATTTAAATTTTTTTCGAAAAATAACAAAACTTAAAGCTCTAACAGCCAATTTCACGAAAGCAATTCAAGTGAAAAATGATTGTAGTTTTTTGAATTTTCTATGAAAATTGGCAGAAAATTAAAAATTATTTTTCATTTAAATTGCTGGCGAAATCGGCTGTACAAATTGTTTTTGGGTTTAAATTTTTTTCCAAATAATACATAGAAAAATCGGTATTGGATAAATTTGTATAAAACCGTTTGTTTTTTCGGAAGACTAAATTAACTTTAAAAATTTTAGCTATAAAATTGCATTTTTTTAAACTGCCGATAAATATTAAAAATTTTTGAAAACGTCGAAATTAGTCATTACAAGAATTTTTTTGAATTACATTTTTTAAATGTCAAATTTAAAAGTTTTTTTATAAATGATATTTAAGAAAACTTCACAAATATCTTGTTTTTCGAAATGCATAAATAATTGAATGTAGCAATTTTAGCTGGATATTTCCATATTTTACACAGAAACTTTAACTAATAAATATTTCAAAATTTGCTAAAAGTTTCAAAAGGTTTGCATGTACTGATTTTGTAGACTGGCTTTGATTTGGTTTTCCGGGATTTTTTTTTTATAAAATGTCAAAATAAATGCGGAAGACCAGTTTTTTTGTTTTAAATACAAAATATAAAAATTTTAGTTTGTTTCGTAGATTTTAAAAATCAAAATATTTTTTAAGCTTCGAAATAGCTAACATTATTTTAAGTTCTTAGAACTTAGGAAAAATATCAAAATTTTTAAATGTTCAAAATTTTCAATAAGTCAAAATTTGTAGAATTTCAAAATGACAACATTTTTAGAGTTTTCAAAACTTATCGAAATTTTCAAAATTTATCATATAACTCATTATTTTTGCAGCGCTATTTCTAAGCAAATTTTTTCAAAGTTGAGACACCGAACAAATTCTCAAAGGGGATAAACGTTACTAACCCTGAGATAGTTTTTAACCAGCTTCCATGTGTGTTTCGGATCACTATAATTTTGAAACGCCCACCGGAACGGCATATTACACTCAGCATAAGGCAGCATCTTTGTCTCTAAAATATTTTAAAATAAATATTGGTCCATTATACCTTGAAGCTTTTGAAAAGGGGCGACAAATTGATGCAGACCATTATTCTGGCGCCTTCATGCTTAAAACTTACTTATCTTACAGTTTCGTGGATAAAGACATTTATTATACACACACTGTCTAATGAACATTTTTTATAAATTTTTTTAGACTGAGTTTCGACCGAATCAATCTAATATGCAGAAGTAGAAAAGCAATTTTGTTAAGAGTTGATTCAAAATTTAAAACGAAAAGCATTAATCTAACGAAATTTGTTGCATTTGTTACGCACAAAACTGTTTGTACATAGTCTCATACATACATGCATATGTTAAGATAAACGAATAATTTTAGAATTTTCTAGTTTTCTTTGTTTTAAACCATAGAAACAAAACAAAAAAAAAACAAAAATACAAATGAAAAAGCAGCAAGGCTTTCGAATTTAAAGTTTTTTAAAGCAAAATTTTAATTTAATTAAATATTCCCAACTTGAATGTTAAAGCTTAACAATTGTATTTGCACACCAAGATTCAATGTAAAGCATTTCTGTTTGTAGTTAATACACTTGGATGTTTGTTTTTGATACACCTAGGACTCGCAAATTTAATAATTTTCATAAACTGAGGATTTTCACACATAATACTTAATAATATTTACAAACATTGTTTTATTCTTAGGACACAATTTCTTACTTCCTCTTAATCATCCAAGATGTTGTTTGGATATACATACATACATACATATTTAAATAAAAAAACAATTAGAAAATGTACATATGTGTAGTTTATGAAAATAAGTATGCTTTGCATTTGTACGTACATAGTGTACCTACATACATGCATATATTCACATTCAAAGGTACCCACGTCACGTATACGCCATGTCGAATGCCCTTAAGCTACATGCATACATAGCTTGCATTTATATTTGCTTATTCATACGCAGTTAAGTGATTGTAAATACAAAAACATATGTATGTATATTCACATGTATGCATGCAAGTGTGTTTGTTTGTTGGCTTAAAGCAGCAAATAAGTGGATATGGACGTGACTATTAAATTGAATAGGAAAATTTATTTACCAAATAAAATAATGGAATCAAGTGGAGAATATTTATGTATGCAGGATCAGTGTAATATTTTATAATGCATAGAAATTAAATTGCCACATATATGAATTTTGGAGAAATTGTGAAAAGTAAATTGATTTAATTAAAAACAGCAGGCACATGCAACGGCATGTGTGAAAATAAGAGTACATTGATGCCTGTAAATAATAGGTGGAAATAAGTGTGAACGTATGAAATGGCTGCATACCTACATACATGTGAATGTTTAAGATTTGAGATTAATCCTTCATGGTTTTGTAGTAAGCTTTTAAATTCACTTCAACTTTTTGAAATTTTAAACAAAGATGTGTTTCTTCTGAATAAAAAATAAAACTAAAATTAAAAAGTAATAAAACAATGAAAAAATAGATTAAATAAAATAAAACAAAATTTAATAAACTATAAAAAAAAACAAAAATAAAATAAAATAAAATAAAATAAAATAAAATAAAATAAAATAAAATAAAATAAAATAAAATAAAATAAAATAAAATAAAATATAATAAA